AGATTGTAAGTGCATCTAGTGCCACCCCTAGTTTGGTTTTGGAGTATTGATGACAAACGTGGTTGAGGGACTAATGTGTTTGTAAGAATTGCAGGATAACACAGGTAGTAGTCCCTCTTTGATTCGATTTACCTACCGGAGATGACCCCTAAAAATGTATGAAGACATTGAAGATAATGGTGGTACGTGAAGATATTCACATTGAAGACTATGACTATAGAAGACATTGAGTGAAGACTATGGAGCGCGAAGACTTAGCAGTTTTGTTGTTTCTTTTCTTCTTTGTTGAGTCATAGGAACCACCGCACTGTTAAGTGGGGTCCAAGTGAACAAAGTCAGAGTGACTGAAGTGATGCTCAACCAAAATCCTATGTCTTCGAGCGAAGACAATGAGAGCAAATCTTATCCAGGGTCGGATAAGTCAGCTTTACTTGTAGCCCAAGTCAAGCTGTCACGTGTGTTTGAAATCTGACCGTTGTGACACGTGTCAGTTCCTTAGTGACCCAGGGTCATTTCGGACAAATCAGGTCGGGTTGCCTAGTGGCTATATAAATAGCGCACCCCCTACACCATAAATTAGTGGCTGCTCAGAGTTAGTGCACGGCTTTTGTCATTTGAGAGCAATCCACCTCCGAAGCTTTTGAGAGAGAGAAATCCTTGTGAGGACGAAGCCCAAACACCCAGAGCCAAAGAGTGTTAGGCATCACTGAAGTCTTTCTGTCCGCGTGATCTGAAGACTTGTTACACTTGAGGAATGTGAATCCTCCAGCCGGTTAGGCGTCGCGTTCTGAGCATCCAAGAGTAATTGTGGATGGCCGGTGAACAAAGTCTGTGAAGGTTTGGAAGTCTACCTTGAAGACTTACCAGAGTGATTGGGCGGGGACTATGTGTCCTTAGCTCAAGGGGAATAAGGTGAAGACACGGTCTTCTGAGTTCAATCTCGACCTCCCTAGCCAGACGTACAGTTGTCACAGCAACTGGAACTGGTTGAACAAATCCTTGTCTTCACAACACACTGGTTCTATCTCTTACTCTCCTTACTTATAGCTTGTCTTTGTGAAGTCATTGCCTGATTACTCTACCTATTTGTCTTCACTGTGTGACTACTTGTTCTGATTGGCTTCATACTATCTTCCATCCTGATCCTACTACATAGCTTCTATCAGTCATCATGCTTTAGCTTCATACTTGTTTGACTATGGCTTGTCTAGTGTAGTTCATCTTCCGCTGCATGTTTATAGGTCTAGTTTTCATGATTGTCTTCGAAACTTTCATGTTTTGAAGACTTTTGTAAAAATCGCCTATTCACCCCCCCCCCCCTCTAGTCGATAGCTAGCACTTTCAGAAGGCCATCTGGTCGTTGGCTGCTCATCGGACGATTCAAAAAAAAACAATCCATCCAAATCTTTTTTTAATCTCCCGCCCTCTAGCAATCCACTTTTTCCTCATGGGTAACTGTGTCAAGATGATGTTTAGACCCCAACAAGGGTTGGACTATATATTTGTTTGTTTTGTTCTTCGAGTTGCATATATAGAATAGAAATAGAATTTAAGCTACTCTCGTCTTCACTAGAATCATTTATCCATCCAGATCTATGCTCATGCATTGTTGTTAATGTACTTACATTCTTCTATCTGCATGGGCCATTGTCTAGCATCTCAACTCTTGGTTCCATCATCCCTAGTATCAATGATCATTGTCGAGACTATACACACCATTTCCTCGTTGTTCCTTTGTCATTTCATTCACCGGAGCGTCTGTAGCCCTCCGTGTAGGGTCGGCAGCACGAGGAGGGGTTGTCGGTGCCATTCGTGGTGTCAGAGTCTTCGGACGGGGATTGATTGTTCACGTGTTATGAAATTGGTCCTAATTTGATAGGTATTTAAGAGATATATTTTTTTATAACGAAGGCTCAAGAAGAGCCCGACTTTGAATTAACAAAGTCATCAACTGGCCAGGATTACAAACTCGAAACCAACACAAGAAAAAAAAAAGAAAACGGCAAGATACAAAGGCGCTGGTAAGAAGCTCACAAGCCTCATACACACCAAGCTAAAAAGATCGACTGGGAGAAACACAGCTCGGAGATGAAGAGGCCCTCCACGCGACTAGAACGCCATGGAAGAAGAAGAATGCCCACACTGGATCAACATGTCCAACGAGGAAGAAGGGCACACCGTCGCCTAATCACCAGCAACCCCGACCCTACACATCCGCCCAGCTCCAATGTCAAAGAAGGCCCCTGCCTCCTCGCCTGGCTCGAAAGGCACCGCACCATTGACAAGAGGAGCAGTTCACCCTAGAACCTGGGAGATAGTTGTCGGCAGGCTGCATCTGAAAAGAAATAACTCACCCAACAAGTCACGAACACATCACCAAGAGCAGAGCACCACCGAATCCCACGGACTGGTCACAAAAAGGAAGAGTTGCCGGAACTGACAAAGACGAGCAACAGTTAGATCTCTCTGGAAGACATTGAGAACCGAAATGCAGGTACCGAAAGAGGGGCTAATACTCTCATGGTGCACTGAGAAGGGTCGTCGAATGAGGGGAACCCGATACCCTCATGCCCAGGAGAATCCACAGGCCAGACAGGGCACCGCGCAGTAGACCAGAGAGCTCCCGAAATGAAGGAGTCATTTAGGAAGTCGCGGTCGTCGAGGGAGATCAGCTACAGTCGCCGCTGCACACGAAACACATCTCTGAGAAACCCCACGCCCACCTTGCTCAGGGAGGACGCGACACCAAGGACGCCACCGCCGCCCAACAGCGTTGGGGATTTCTCCCGGGAGGCAAGGAGGGGAAGGGGCAGAGGAACAGACCCGAGCGGCACCTCCAAGGAGGGGAACGGTGTTGGGGAATGTTGCATGGGAAACAAAAAATATCCTATGCTCACCAAGATCAATCTAGGAGATGAACATCTACGAGAGAAGAGATTGCATCTACGTACCATTGTAGATTGCTAAGCGGAAGCATTAAGAAACGTGGTTGATGTATTCGAACGTCTTTGCGATCCAATCACGATCCGTCCCGTGAACTCCCAATCCAAGTGCCAAACGGACGACACCTCCGCGTTCAACACACGTACGGCTTGATGATGCCTTCACCTCCTCGATCCAATATATCAATCTTCACCCCGGACCATTCCGGAGTTCCTCGTCACGTCCGGGATCTCATCCGAGACTCCGAACAACCTTCGTCAACCACCATAACGACTCAATTATACTTATATCGTCACCAAACGATAAGTGTGTAGACCCTGCGGGTTCGAGAACTATGCAGACATGGCCGAGACACCTCTATGGTCAACAACCAATAGCGGGACCTGGATGCCCATATTGGTTCCTACGTATTCTTCGAAGATCTTATCGGTCGACGAACCTCTATGCTAAGGATTCAGCTAATCCTGTATGCAGTTCCCTTTGTCTATCGGTATGTTACTGCAGCGTGCACATGGAAGCAAGATCCCATTGCACATAGTTTTTTGTCTTCTAAAACAGAAAAGGATAAAGATGGGTCGGCGAGCGCGCGGAGAAGTGTGCGTCCGATTGCGGAAATAGAAGGAAGTGCGCTTAAGGCGTCGTTTAGGATATGTCGTTTACGACTGTGCTACTCGTCGGAGAGCTAGAAGAAACGGCGGTGCATTAAGGCGCGGCCGAGGGAGATCAAGCGTGTCCATCTTCCTCGACGTCATTAGCCACTGCTGACTCGTCCTCGACGATGTAATAAGCCCTACCTTGCCATGTCCTCTCCTCCACCTCTCTCTCCCTTCCCTCCGTCTTTCTCTTCTGAAATTTCATCCAAGTTCTTCTGCACTTCCGACACTCCGGCCTGACCCCATCAAATTTACCATGAGTCTCCCACATCTTTTTTTTTTGGGAAATTTTGTTTTTGCCACTCTAAATTTTGCCAATTTTCCTTATGCCACTCTAGATTTTGACATTTCACATTTTCCACTCTTAGTTCTTGACAATTAACACAATTGTCATTCCCGTGGCTAAAGTAAAAAAAAATCAAAGTGGCAATTGTTATACATTTCAAAAGCTAAGAGTGGCAAAAATGAAATAAGTTTATTTTGATTTTGCCACGTATTGGCAATTGTGATAATTGTCAAAAGCTAAGAGTAGCAAAAGTGAAATGTCAAAATCTAGAATGGCATAAAGAAAATTGGCAAAATCTAGAGTGGCAAAAACAAACTTTCCCCGGGATTCCCACATCTTCTCATAGCGGAACAACCTGGGAATCCAAGCTGAACGCCTCTTAAAATACACAGCCATAGGCGAACCAACCTGTGGTTGGATGGTTAGAGAGCCAGTAGTATTCCCATCCCACCAGGGTTCATGTCCTGATGCTCGCATTACTCCTGGATTTATTTCAGGATTTTCGGCGATGCGCTTTCAGTGGGAGGAGATGTTCCCGTCGACAACGAGGGAAGTGGATCCTCTAACATGAAGGAGGAAAGTCACCTAAGCTACAGTGCAGACTAATGTAAAACATAGAAGGAAAGTCACGGATACTGTAGCAATCACTCTATCATCTACTTAAGTAGGTACTATACACAGCTATTGTTGATATAAATAAATCCAAAATTAATTTTATTGCACCATAATTTTGTTTGTATGTAATTTTTGTAAATGTATAAAGTAGATTTGTAATTTGCAAATTAATTCGAGTCATCTTAGCCTTAATCATATTGGAAGTGAAGGAGGAAAGTTAGAGAATTGTAGTTTAGATGACTTCCCTCCTTCATGTTAGAGGATCCACTTCCGACAACGAGATGCCTACGATGACTTCGTAAATCTCAAATGATATTGCCCGCTCAATATCTCGAAAGTGCTCATACGAATAGGGTGTGCATATATGCGTTTATAGGGTGAGTGTATGCGCGTATGTATGAGCGCTTGCGTCTGTACTGTGTTAAAAAAAACAGCCCTAAAGCAGGTAGGAATCTATTGCCCATGTTCGGCCCATTATCCCTGGACTAGGCCGGGCCAGCGGGATGATGGAAAAATATCGAGGCTCTGCGCTCAGAAGGCTGCGCTGCTCCAACATCCGAGAACAGGAAGAAACGGCGGCGCACATGGAGGCGCAGCCGCGGGAGATCGACGGGCATCCTCCTTCCTCGGCGACGGCGACCGCTTCTTCGTCCTCGTCCTCGTCGCGGACGTAATAGCCCCAAGCCCTACCTCGTCCTGTACTCCTCCATCTCCCTTTCTTTCCCCTCCGTCTTGTTTTTCTGGTTAATTTCGTTCACCTGTGGATGTTGCATCAGATCCACCTATATCTTCTGTAAGATTAATCACACTGTACCTCGATATGTAACTGAATTTGGTTGATATAATTAAGGCAAAGATTGATTCTGCTTATTGTCAATGGCAAACAATCCAGATTGAAACTATCCCTACTTTAGATCTCCCACATTGCATTTTTTTGGCTGATTCAGTTTGACAACTAGGTGCTGTCAGTCAGTATCAAAGCACACGGCACCTGCCAGATATTATTAGTTTGAGAAACAGGCGATTGTGGTATGCAGTTCAGTAGACCCAAAGATTTATATGAAACTTCAGCAACCTGTATCTACCGCGTATAACTTCTCTATAGAACTGAAATTCAGTGCCCGCGTCGTTGCTGATCTTATTCTGAGCTTCTCAGGGGCAACGCCTCAGTATGATATGTTTCTCTGTTTAGCTCAGGTCATGTTTCCTAGAATCTTGGTAGCTCCTCTTCTTTTTCATACAATTATATCTAGCTTCGCATGCCTAACCTTTTGCCCTGAATTTGTTGTGTCGAACAGGGAGAGCGCCGCCATGCGAATCAGTGCTAAGAGAACCTGCTATGCCTCTGCTTCCTCTGTCTTTGCCGCATCCGGGCCACGAGGATGGGCAGAGCTCCCGCAAGATCTGATCCAATGCGTAGTCGCTCTCCTCGGCTCCTCCCGCGACCTCCTCGCCTTCGGTGCCACCTGTCGTCCTTGGCGTGATCTCTTCTCGGTATGCACGTGCTCTTTGCAGCCTCTCCTCCTACACCCGAGTGCCGACAGCAAACTATCTCCCCAGTTTAACCACTGGACGACCTTGCAAGGATGCACGTGGAGATTGGCTGATCCTGCTGCCGCCTCATCCTATCCCAGTTTGCTTTCCTTGAGTGACCTCAGAGGCATTCTCTTTCTTCGTTACTCATACGGCCACCTCATCTTCTGCGACGATGATGGGTTCTACATTGTTAATGCCTTCAGCGGCGCTAAGGTTGTTCCTCCTTGCCTCAAGTCAGATCACTTCACCAGCATCAGCTATGCCACCTTGACTGCCCCTGTTGCATCCGATTACTCGCATCTCCTTGTTGGCAGTGGAGCCTATCTGTTCTGGTGGCGCATCGGGAGCGACTCTTGGTTCGAACACTATCCTAAAGTTAATTTTCTTAAGATTGAACAAGTTGTGGCCCTGAAGGGCAAAACATATGCCCTAGGGTCTTTCGGGTCCTTCTGCATTGTACAATTCTTACCCAGTCTCTTAATTCAGAAGTTTGAAGTTATACTTGAGGAAGATAGCACCAAAGATCTTTATTGGACAAATAAGAAAACATGGCTTGTTGCGTGCGGTGACGCGCTTCTTTTGATCAAACTTGAGGCATCAAGAAAGACATTCTCGGAGGTCATCCAGTTCAAGGCCTTCAAGCTTGAGTCGTTGGAATCCGTGAGCAAGAAGGCAAGGTGGGTGAAGGTGGACAGGTTGGATAACTGGGCCATCTTTGTCAGCGCGGACGTGCGATGCGAGGCATTGCCATGCATGAACCCAGAGAGATGGGGAGGCAGAAGCAACCACATATACTTCCCAAGTTATCATCCTGAACAACCTTGGGCTGCAGTCCAACTATGGCAAAAACATAACGACTGTTCAACACATTCGCAGCTCGAGAACACTGGAAACCGGTACCGCAGATTGGAGTCAACCTGGGTGATTCCAAGCACGTTTCCTCGCTCTGGTCAGTGATGATCTTTGGGGCAATCGTACATGTGTCTGGTGTAGCTTCTGATACAACTTCCGTGAGAGAATTCTACCATGTTGCAGTTGCAGGACGAGTAGTTGACTGAATGTTGCTGACTTGTTTTCCAAAGTTACTGATGTTGAACTCTACTTTTTCTTGTGTGGTGATTACAAGGGACCCTTATTATATTTCATTTCTCATCTACTAGAAATTGTAGAGATTTTTTGTAATTGAGCCACTTGATAACATGGGCTAGGCCTGCAACTATCTTTTATACTAGACCTGTGGCTAAGCCCAAAATGCAAATTCATACTGCCTACCAGCTAGCATCTCTGCTCATTATTCATTCGGTAAGCTATAAACCTACTGTCATTCTTCATTTTTTCATACTAGAAACCTATACTGTTTATCCTTATCTTTGTAAGATTTTACAGAACCATTTCGATCCTAATCCTCTGTCGAAGATCAACTGTTGAACAACTATACAGATCTTTCATCTTAAAAAAAGGTTTGTTTGGACAGATTTCCAGCACATCTCTTTTTCCATGTGGATGGGATCACTTTGAAGACCCCTTTATCCTTTAGGTCCAAAGAAAATATGCTAGTTGCCAATATGGAAAAACAGAGCACATATATATGCACCTTGTTGCTGTTTAACAATGACAGGAATAAAGACTGGTCTAGCTCATCACCATCGTCTTTTTGTGCTTACAAACCTTTTGCTTTCCCTGTCTAGCATGCCCCATCATTCGGATCCCTACAAGGCCTCAACATCTTGATGGCATCAAGGAAGAGAAAAAGATGACATGTAATACCCCCATATTCGGCGCGCATCCTTCTTACTCGGCGGCTGCTTCCTCATCCTCGTCGCTTACTCGGCGGCTGCTTCCTCATCCTCGTCCCGTTTCTCTTCACCTGCAGATGTTGCATCAGATCCGCCTACATCTGCAAGTAGGGATTAAGGCATAGATGGATTCTTTCTGCTTATTCTCGAAAAAGAAAAGCAATCCAAATTGAGACTTTCCCTGCTTTAGATCTCCAACATTGCAGATAATAATAGAGGGTGTCGGTCGCTGATTCTCAATTTGCTAGGAAAATCATATGTGATCTGCTTTTATTTTTCTGTCAGCATCGACACTTGCCAGATACAGTATTTGTTTGAGAAATGCAAGGCAATTGTGGTGTGTAATCTGTATGAACCAAGATCTACATGAAACTTCAACAACCCGTCAATCTAGCGTGCCTTCATCATTGTTGATCTTGTTCTGAGCTTCTAGGGAGCGACAACTCAATGCGATTAGTACCTTTGTTCAGTTCAGTGCATGATGGGAACGTAGTGTGGCGTTGATGTCCTAAAGAAACGCACCAGGCAATTCCTGTACAGTTAAGTTATACCTTGTTTCCATGCCTAACCTTTTTCTTGAATTTGCTGTGTCGAACAGGGAGAGTGCCATCGTGCAAATAATGGCCAACAGGACATGTTCTGCTTCTGTCTCCTCACTCTTTGCTTCATCTCGGCCGCAAGGATGGGCAGAGCTCCAGGACGACCTGCTCCGACCCATTGTCGCTTTACTACGCTCGTTCCGCGACCTCCTCCCCTTCGGTACCACTTGTCGCCATTGGTGTGATCTCTTCTCAGCACACAGGTCCTCTGTCCAGCCTCTGCTTCTCCAGCCCCTGTCCAGCCACTTGTCGACAGACTCTCTCGCATAACTGTTGGACCTTATTCCAAAAATGCACATGAAGATTGGTTGGCCCTGCTGTGACCTCATCCTCTCGCAGTTTTCTTTCCTTGAGTGACCACAGAAGCATGACCTTTCTGCACTGCTCTTACGCATCTTCTACGACAACAATGGGTTCCATATTGTTAATCCATTCAGTGGCGCTAAGCTTGGCCCTCCTTCCCTACAGTCAATTCAGTTCACTTGCATCAGCTATGTCACCTTAACTGCCCCTGTTGCATCTGCTGACTCACATCTCCTTGTCGGTGCTGGAGCCTATCTGTTCCTGTGGCGCATCGGGAGCGATTCTTGGACAAAACAGAGTCCTAAAGTTGGTCGTTTTTCGATTGAACAAAATGTGGCCTTCAAGGACAAGACATATGCCCTAGGGTCTTTCGGGTGGTTCTACATCATTCACTTGTCACCCAGTCTCATTGTTGAGAAGTTTAAAGTTGTGTTCGAGGAAGATAAAACCAAAGATCTCTATTCGGCAAATGAAAAAGCATGGCTAGTGGTGTGTGGTGACACGCTTCTCTTGATCAAACTTGTGGAGGCGGGAAGACGGATGCGCTCGGAGGCCTTCCAGTTCATGGCCTTCAAGCTTGAGTCATTGGACATCATGACCAAGAAGGCAAGGTGGGTGAAAGTGAACAAGTTAGATAACTGGGCCATCTTTATCAGCGTTGACGAGCGGTGCGAGGCGTTGTCGTGCATGAACCCGGAGGGATGGGGAGGAAGGAGCAACCACATATACTTCCCAAGTTATCAGTCTGAAAAACCTTGGGCTGCAGTCCAACTACGGAAAAAATGTTATTACCATTCGACACAGCTCTTCAACACTGGAAGACGTTACCTGAAATTGGAGTCAACCTGGGTCTTCCCCACGCGTTTCCTTGTTACGTCCTGCGATGATCTTACGGCCGTGAGTGCGGTTGGTGGGAGGATTCTACTATGTTGCAGTGATTCTACTATGTTTCCTTGTTACCGTGATTAGCTTCTGATACAGCTTTGGTGGGAGGATTCTACTATGTTGCAGTAGCAAGATGAGTAGTTCACTGAATGTTCGTGACGTGTTTCAAAACTTGCATTACAAACAGAAGTGTAGATTAAATTATCAGATTATGTACTTTCCTCTTTTTTTCTGCGGCAATTACAAGGGACCCATATGTTTTATTTCTCATTTATTACAGATTGTGGAGTTTTCTTGTACCTGGGCACTTGATAACATGCGCTAGGCCTGTAACTTCCCTTTCATGCATAGATAGCGAAGAGTAACTTGTCTCAAAAAAAAAGCTAAGAGTAATTGTACTATGGTTGTTGATTATTCACGTGATGCGCTTGAGCATATGACTATCTCATTGGGTGGAAATGTGAATATTGATAACATAGCTTGGCAGAGCTACAATTTTTTAACTGAACATTGTACGCCATTTTGGGCTGGAGAGTTGCAAGGTCACCAAGAATTAAAGTGAGGATGCAAGTCCATAGACATCAGGTTAATATAGACTGCAAGTTTAGCCAACAAACATATAAGCAGCATATATGCATTCATCACAAAGTTTATATTTTGCACCAACAGATGTATGGACCAAACAAAGCACATAACTAAAATAAAAGCCCAGGCACATCCGACATGGTGCACACAAAAAATGCTGAAGAGTGATATGAAGACTCAAGAAGCTAATATTGTTTCAAGATGCAAACCCTTATCTCTTGTATGCAAAACGGGAGTAATTAACAAGGTTCAGCAAAAACAGCAACATGTAGCACAAGTTTTGCCTCCAGGAATGTACACTGGGTGGCAAATAGAGATTATTACAAATCTTGATGTACTCCGTCAAAGGAGCGGAAACTAGAAGGAACATAGCGACAAAAAAATCCCCAAGTGCAGCCAACGACAACAAGACAACTGCACGGTACAACGACACGATCTCATATCCAAGCTGCAAAGGATGTAGGATTGCGAGCAAGATGGGCATTGATCGTCGCAAAACAAGGTTCTGGCTCCAACTCCTCATGTTGGTTGCCATCTACTGGGTATGAAAATACTCGAGCGTTTTCATCCAATTGATAGACAAGGCCACCCCCTAAACCCATTCTCTTTGGGTTCACTAAGAGTCGTGGTTGTCCAGTACGTTTCTCGCCCAAGAAGAACGCCCACTTCTTCAAGCCTCCCTCTTCCACGATCACATACTTTGCAGGTTCAGTTGAGAAGTCAATGGAGAAGGCTTCCCCGTTACGACCAAGTAGGAGAAGTGTGTCTTCACAAGCCACCAAATTTCCAGAAAGCACGTACGGGTCCATATAATCTCTGCAATCAAGTCTTAGTAGCTCAACATGAAACTGAGGTGTCAAATGCACGGTGTATAGTTTTTGACGCATCCTCATAATGACCCGGCCTTTGAAGGACACCATCTCCTTGATCAAATGTGCATTTAGAAAATCGCAGTGCAACCAAGAGGGGCTCCCAACTCGCCAAGCATACAGGCAGTGCGGGCTGCTGACAAATAGATATGAATCTGGTGACGCCTCTGGAGATATGAAGGTTCTGTAGCATAGTTGAGTCAATGGAAAAGGTGGAGCTGCAACCGTAGTGCCAGTGAGCACGTCCATAATGAAGAGGGATCTCTCGTAGCAGAAAATCGCATGACCATAAGAACATTTGATGACTGCCATTTTGTTCAAAATACTTGGAGGGGTCAAGCGACACAACGGAGTACTTGGATATACAGGATCAATGAGCTCCCATGTGTTTCCAATGTTAGAGACAGCTGAGCTTGTCTGGTCGGCACAGTTCCGGAAAATAACAGGTGGGAAGAGCTCGCCTAAGGTAGATTTGATTGACATGAATGCGGCATACCAGCTAGGGCAGGTGGCGATGAATGCAAGAAGGTCACGAGTTGAACCCAACAGGACAATGATGGAGTGCAATAATCCATGTGGTAGGTCCGCCCAGCCTTCGGGTCCAAACATGACACGGTGCATGGAGATGGGGGTGTCGGAGCTCCGGTTGATGTTTTGCATGATATCAGCTTCAAATTCTGCATTAAGGATCATGAAAGGACAACAATTTTAGCAATGGACCTGAGTTAACTATATAATATAAATTGTTATCACTATTTTAATTAAATTGGTACTGCTACAGCTATGATAATTATACAAACACAACAAAAATGTTTGTAGAAACTATAAACATAATACATAGTAGAGCAAAGACTACAATATTGCCGTCGAAATGTGCATCTGCCTCAAGAAAATTCGATCATGATAAAATTCATCAACAGTTGAAAAGAAAAGGCAAGTTCTGTATTTTTCTTTCCACCGAATGTTATTTATATGTGTTGCGCAACAGGTTTGGCTCTTGTCTCCACCTCGATTCCGGGCGCACAGATACGCGACAAATTTCATCAACATTTGAAATTAAAAAGTGCAAGCAATATTGAAATTCTAAGATTGTTCTACACTGATAGTGGTAAACCCTTGAACTATTTCATATTTTCATATAGTATAAACACAACAGGATCGCACATCCACCAACAACACATACACTCAGATCCCCAAATCATCCATGGCAGAGTCAGGCTAACAAGAACAAAAGTGCGATGAGCGCGTCAGAGGAGGTTGCCCCCAATGGGGGTGATGACGGGCCAAGGAAGATGATCCTGGGCAGCCTTGCACGGTGGAGAACTCTGTCTGATCGTGGACCGTGGCACCGGTCAGCAAATATATATACTCGGCCAACCCACGAGACCATGTCCTACTTGGAAATTGACTTAACCTAGATCACATCATATACTACATATTTGGACTCAAGCTTGACGCAAACACGTGAACTCCTACTAGTACATGTACATGACTTTGGTTAGTCCCCAAAGAAATAAAGCCACGTGACATGCAAGCACCAACTAAATCATGTTCCAAACAAAACAATCAAGATTATGCTAACACTAGTGTCGGCCACTGCACCACCAATGGCTGTCATGGGTTCCCAACTCCAGTAGGAGGTGGGGAAGGTCTCGTCCACAATACCGGCAATCACTCCAAAGCTGCTTGTATGTACAACTCAGAGCAAGGGGGTAGAACTCGACATCAACTTGGTTCCTTCCCTTGCTGAGGCTGAAACCGGAGGGCGGAGGTGATTCAAGGCCAAGCCTCCTCCATGAGTCCTACAGCCAGCAAGGAAAATGAAGTGGGCGAAGTCAACCTCAACAAGGCTCCTCCCCTACCCCTGGAGCCAGTAACATGAAAGCCAAGCACCACAAAGATAAGAATAGCCACAAGGGTAAGCCAGGGAAGTAAGTTGATCAATCCCTGGTGAACACCGGGGTGGTGTTGGGTAAATGCATGGGACGTGACAGTGAGTCTTGTAGTGAGTTTGTGGCGACACCTAGTTACAAGGGTCCTGGTCTGAACAAGAAGGCGTGAGGTGAGGGTAATGGAGGTGGCATGAGCAACATAGGTGTGTTAGGCGGTAAGGTAGCTATCGGCCCATTGGTTGCCGATGAATGACATGTGATAAGGAAGGCACCTATCAGGAGAAATGAGTCGCCTGATCTAGAATTGTTGGGGCCTCGGGCAGTCTCGGATAGTTGAAGAGCTAGTTTGCCTCGTGCACGCATATACCACTTGATGATCGTTTTACTTTCTGAAACTCAGCAATGTGAAAGGAGTTTCAATAATCTTAGGAGGATGCTAGGCCGCCAGAATTGTATTGTGCATGATGGTAAGGGCAAGGGTGTGTTGCGTTGTTGTGAGATAAATGAACTAAAATAAAAAGACTGCCATATACCCGAGGTACATCAATGTCTTAATTCATGATGATTCCCATGACCCGAAGTGTCGGGCTACATGGTGAACCTAAGGAGTAAGGAAGACGTCAAATCTGGAGTTTACTCAAAAGAATAAAGCCAGATGCTCATGAACACTTGTTGATGATAGGTGATTTTTATGAGACGATGTGTGGCAGGATGAGCACTTCTCAGTAGCTTGGATATTCGAGAGAGAAATACCAATTTCAGAGAAGGCTTGTTCTAGTGTGATCTTCATAATTGGGGCTATAAGGGGCCATCCTGGACATACAATAATAAACAATATGGTAAAAGCAATGTGACCATTGGGTTGAAAGTGCAGTTGCATCGTCGGGTTGGTGTGATTTATTCAGAGTGAACAATGGTACCTACATATGCTCCAACCACTTTCCTCTATGGCTGCAATACAGAGATAGACCCAGGTGCGTAGCAACGTGAAATCCTTCCGGTATGAGTAGATATGGGAAAGAGTACCGTCGCCAAAGGGAACTACTGAAATCCCTGGTCGATGACTGCACTAAGCTGGGAGTGCTGCAATAGGATGTTTGATCTTGGACATGAAAGATTTTGGGTCCATGATAAGCAGTACTCACTGGCTGAGAAGGAATATTATAGTCTCATACTGAATGCACCATCTTATTGGTTGCGGATGGTCGGGAAAGCATCTCAAGAAAGCAGGTCTTGGAAGGAAGGTTAATGCCAATCAAAATTGTTGGGGGAGCCTCGGTGTCTCTAAACTAATGTTTGTTGATGACAGCCTTTTGTTCTTCAAGGCCGTAGGAAGAGAGGTGAGGGTAGTGAAGGACACTCCAAATCTATTTCAAAGGTGTACATGATAGCTTCTTAGCCCGGCTAAATGCTCTTTATTACTTAGTGAACATTGCTCGCCCCATGTCCAGTAAGAGATAAAGGTCACCCTTGGTGTTGTGGCTTCCACTTTTGAGAGTAAATATTTGGGTTTACCAACCCCAGAAGGTAGGATGTTTGCCTCGAATTTTAGTCGATCATGGAAAGGTTCACAAAAATGTGCAAGAACTAGATTGAAAAGTATATGACCCATGCAGCTAAAGTGGTCTTGATCAAGTAAGTGGTTCAAGCGCTTCCCAATTACTTCTTTGGATTGTTCAAATGTGATAAGTATGAAAATTTTATCTGGGACTTTAGGTGGGGCGATGAGTAAGGACAT